GGTCGGGCTAGAAGATCTACTAGGTCCCTTCCGACCCTTAATCTATGAATCTATGAATCTATGAATCTATGTTCCCACTTTTTCACCACCAAAAATCATTCATATTCTGTCTAAAGCCATACTTAAATACAAAGCAAAACTATGCAAAGCATGATGTACAGCATTTAGAATAGTTTAAATACGGTTCAGACCTGACATGGACAGACATACTAGCCTGTTGAGCCAGTTTAAAATTGCCTAGAGTAGTTCAAAAGCACACCTGGAAAATCAAGTATTGCTGTGATCAGGTCCACTGTGAATCATTTCACTGTTATGTATGAACACCAGGCATTCTGTGACAAAAACCTTGCTCATCTTCCCGACAACATACCCCTCAACTGCAACTGGCTTTTATGGTACACAGCCAAAACTGTCCCCCTATTTTCCTTTTGTCAGCACTTTTTTTTTTTTTGAGTCTGTGAGCTCTGCACTGCATGTTCAATAAAAGCTGTCTCTAACAACCAGCTGTGTCCTCATACTCTAGTCAACCACCCCACTGCCTCATCATGCCCCACCCAGCCCTAAGAAACCTAAAATCATGGGTTTACACACACTGTGCTGTGCCCCACATCAGGCAAGCACACTGCCAGCTAAAGTCAACTGCGGGCTGTTGGAAGTGAAAGGAAAGCATAAGAGCAACAATGCCCCTAACCATAGATCACCCACCCCTTGGAACCTCCAAAACACAGGTGCAAGGACTCCGCCCAATTTGCCCACTACAACACAAGCTGAGCGGGTGCTTACCCTCATCCCCTAGTTTCCAAGGAGAAGCATTTGGGAATAGTTGTAACTACAGGTGCACTGATACATCTGTCTGATATCGGATCGGTAGCGATATAAAGAAAATTGGCTGTACTGGAAGATGGCATGATAGCACCAATATGGCAGAAAAATAACTGCTGCATTCAGCCACAGCACTAAAGCAGTGAGAAGAACGGCTGGCAGTGTGGAGAGCTGCCTCCACCGGGTAGGTCCGTGCGGCAGAAGAGGTAGGGAAGGGGTGGGGGGCAGATCAATGCCCCTCGACATGCAGGAGGGAGGGGACAGGGGCAGACACTACCTAGCTGGGGAGGGGTGGGGGACAGAGCCGCGGCTCATGGGGTGTGGTTCCCACCACTGCTTGCATCCTGGGAGGGCACGGTGGGGGGGTGCGTGCCCCCAGATCTGCACAGGGTGGGACAGGTGGACTGTAGCTGTGGGCTGGAGCCAGAACTGTGTGGGGCTCTTCTTGCCAGGGGCTGGGCTCAGAGCGAGTGCTGGCAGTGCTGGGTGGGGGCTACATCCACCCCAAATTTCACCATAGCTCCACTCCCAGTGACACCAGCTGCCCGGCTCAAGTTACC